TTGCGCGGGGTTAAGGAGTTCCTCAAAGTACTCCCGCCATCGCCGAAGAATGTCATCATCCTTGGTAAGATGGTGTCCAGATCTGTCCTTCAAAACTCTGAGACTGCCCTTCTTTTCATCTCGGTGCCGGCGGAGATGGTGTGCCAAAATATTTTTTTTGCCGTGTGGAAATTCGACCCCAACACCTCACCGAACTTCTCCCAGGAATCAGTTTGGCTTTGGTCACTGCTTTGGCTGCCGCCTTGCGTGCCTCGACATTTTGCGTACGAGAAGAACGCTCTTTCCTTCCAAGACATTTTTTGAATGCAGCCTTCTTCTAACTGAGTTCTAATTTTACCTGTCGTGTCTACCAGGAAGTTCCACTCTGATCTTTAGGCGGCAGGCCGACTTGATTGAATCTGCAACATTCGGCCGCAACCTTGCTTCTGCCGCACTCAAATGGCTGCCACTCGGTTTCCCAATCGGCGGTCGTCACCGCAATCTGTTCAAACCATCGTATGATCTTGCCAATAAGTTTTATCGTTGTGTCCGCGGAGGATACTGCTTTCTCTTTGACTCTCTGGTTGCTTCTGCCACCAGATCTTCGTATGGTACTCTATTTCTCGTACGGTAGCCTGTCAACAGCAAGGTGATAATTTGTTGCCAGCTCTGTACTTGTCTTAGTGAGAACACCCATTACTGAGCGTCTTAAGTCAGACGATACGAATATCATATCGACCATCGACTTCTGTGCAAAAGCTTCCCGGTACCAGGTGTACTGATGCACTTTTCGATGCTCGAAGAAGGTGCTCATAATAGGCAATCCGTTGTTTGCCCAAAACCCAACAACTTCATGCCGTTATTATTGAGATCGTTATGGCTGTTTTTTCCAATCACGTCATTCCCCTTTTCAACGTGTACTCCGATATGCGCATTGAAATCCTCATGAGTATGATGGACTCTGTATTCGGCACTTCGGACAGAGCACGCTGCACTTGCTTATGGAAAGTCTCATAATCTCCCTCCAAATTAGGCGCAGAGACCTGTACGAAGATCATTGTTTTAGCCTGTTGTAGCTTCAGTCAGAGGATTACCACTATTCCGCTGACAGCCTTCGAATCAATGATTCTGTCTGCTAGGTTGGGTTCTACCAGAACACTAACACCGGTCTGAGCGCGAGTCGTGATATCGACGCCTGAGTAGAATAGCTTCCATCCGTTGAGGTTCAGGAGTCCAGTGTCTTGGCGTTTCGTTGACGAGAGTTCAACAATGTCGAGTTGGTACTTCGTGGCCTCGTCAACTAATTGTTGTTCTTTTCCTCTGAGTGAGGATATGTTCCAATTTCCGACTTTAAGCTCCAAATGGTGATGTGGTTTT